TTATTCCCAAACAGAGGCACTCTCAAGCATGCTCTCAACCTTAATCTCTAACTTAAAAGAATAATAAACAAAACGGAATTAAACACCCAGAAAACAAACACATTTATTTAAATTGTCACTTTTTATGTACTCTCTCTCATGTCATTTATGGTACAAAATAATGTACACATACTATTACTCTATTTTAATATACATATGAAATATCAATGTATCTCTAGAATTATATGAAAGCTCAATCAATTATCAAGTAGGCAAACGTATTGCATAATCTTACTCGATATAATTTAACATGTAATGCATGTGTATACGAGGCATGTCATGTGGCATCTAGCTAAGCAAAAGTTCACGCAAGATTGATACTCTATTTAGTAGCATCTCTTTCTGTATATATCTTCCTAGGTGGTTCTGTTATGCCTTTTGATGCCTCGCATGAAATACTATTGTTATCCAAGGCGATACATCACCTCTTTGTTGCAGTATATATTCGAGGTGATGGACTGCTACAAGCCTCATTTCGAACAAGTGGCACAGAGGTTACTGTACAAAGTGATTGATGTTACAGCTTCACATAGATGATGCCTAGAGCTATTTTAGAAAATGTAGGTATTTTTAGAACCGTTGTTAAAATTTTGGGAAAAAAATAAAAGATTAAAAAGGAAGTTGTTTTTTGAATCTTTAAAAGAAAGGGATGTCCGTTGCGTAATTAAACCTCCTTATTTTCATATCAGTTATCCCGTAATAATATTTTAGATTCCAAGAATATCTTGAAATTAATACTTTTTTCATATTCCTATAAATATTGTTAGCCCTAATCAATTTTCTATTTCAATAATTTTGCATTCCTTCAAAGAACTATGTATAGACATGTCTAAATAAAATAATTCAGACTTTGATGTTAAGTGATATTGATGGTTGATCAGTCATTAGGGATTTTAACCCTAACATTTTACCTAGAATTAAAGTAAATATGTTAACATAAAGTTTTAAATAAAAGTCTAAAATGCTACATAGTAGACATATAATTGATAGGGGGTGCTTGTTGAACAACTCCTAGAAAACTTGGGGGTTGCGCCCCAATAGGGGGAGGAGATGACAATGGTTCAATTTCGGGTGGATCGGTTCGGCTAAAACCACAACTGAACCGTCAAATTTTTTGCCATACCATAACCACTAAATCAGTTCGGTTCGGTTCGATTCGGTTAATAACCACGAAAATAAATTATTTTTTATAGGTTCATCCGTCAACTTGATATAAAACAATCCATGAAAAGAGAGTCAATGATAAACAAAAACACAATATTCCAAATGAAAATGCAAACATTATCCTAAATTTCAATTGCAAAATACAAATTTAACAAACAATATTATAAATATAATAATAATAAACTTTTGATTCTTGTCCATTATAGTTACTTGATTCATGCTCAATAATTCAAAAGTTTCAACCTTAACTTATATTCAATCTTCATTCTTCTCTACAACCCTTACTAGCATTGGTCAGCACTCAAAATTGATTCCTATATAGTAAATAAGAAATGTAAGTAGAGAATATAACGATACTATCTAATCCAGAATGATTTTAACTAATATTTAAATAAAAAAATGTACATTTTCCTCAACTTCCTTCTCACTAAACATTGCCATCCCTAATAAAAGAATGGTTTTTTTTAAGCGGGTAATCGGTTCGGTTTCAATTCGACGGCATAAATACCATACCACACAGCCACGAACCGGTTCATTAAAATCAAATACCATATCCGCCCAATTGCACCATCAGTTCTTTTTTCTCACCCCATTCGATTCGATTAACCGCAATTTTCGATTTTAACGGTCCAAATTGCCATTTCTAATGGGGGTGCCACAAACCCTCTAGTTTTCCAGGGGATTGTTCAAGTGGAATTTCCCTAATTGATATGTCCCATTACATATTTGTCCAAGTTTTCATATAAGTTGCTTTTTATTTCAAAGCATGTTAATAATTAATATTTCTAAGTAAAAAAAAAAAAGGTTATTTATTTGCTTTTATTTCGAAGCATGTTAATAATTGATTTTTCTAAGTAAAAAAAAGGTTATTTATTTGGTTTAGAAAAAAAAGTTATTTATTTTGAAATTAACTTTTATTTTATATTCAAATATGTAAGTTATTTATTTTTAATTTTTTTTAATAAAAAAATATTTAGGCTTATTAGAGCAAAACGTCCCTATGTTTGGTTTTAATGTACAAAATGTTCATACATTTCAAATTTTTTTTTTTTTTGCATTTTTACCCTTATTTACATGTTTCATTGTGGAAAATATCAATTTCATCCAATTTCTCAATAAAAAATTATAAAATGACAAATATACCCTCATATTTAAACAAAACAACAACAAAGATAGAAAAGAAAAGTAAAGAAGAAATTACAATCATACTCCCATATTTTTTTAAAAGTTCAAATGAATCTCAAAACCATTTAAAATAATAAATTACATATACGCCGCCATCTTATCTCTCCCTCCTCAAACTCCAGTTTAGTTTCATCTTTTTTGCTGTAAAATTTGCTCCAAACTGGCATCAGAAATGGCCTTAGTCAAACCCATATCAAAATTTAGCTCCACCATCCCAAGAATTGGAATCTCCCGATTGCCAAGCACCATATTTTTACCATCACAGTGTCATCCACCACTTAGTCTCGGACAGTAACAGTAATTTAACATGCCATAAATGAATTTTAAAAAATGAGAGCCAAACATGTTTAGCTACTATCCAAGACAATATACAAGAAAATTAAATATGAATTATTTTATAAAATGAAAAGTTAACATGTTTGTTGTTGCCAAGTGTGCAGTTAAATTTTTAAGATTTGATGGGATAAAATAACAAATATATCTCAACAAAATACTCAAATGATGAAGTTCATATATCATAATATTATGTGAATTTTGGGATGTCAAACGGGCCGAGCGACTTGTCAACTTGTTAAAGCTCGGCTCGTAGACGGTTTGTGCTCGTCAAATGACGAGGCCGAGCAAGGGTGGGAACCAACCAATCGAGTGGGCCCACGAGCCAAATGTTTAGGAAAGTTCGAAAATTTTCAAAAAAAAAATATTATTAAACTCGTGTGCTCGGCTCGACTTGGCCCACGAGCTCATGGCTCTTGAACTAACGAGCTCGCCCCTTGAGTAGGGATAGCAACAGGGCCCGCCCTCCCTTAGACAGGGCGGGGATGAAGCAACTTTTTGTCTCGTTTAATTTTTTTTTACATTTTCAAAATTCGAATTATGTTATTATTAGAGAATAAAATATAAATTTAAAATGGATTTTTAACGGGTAAATTATCTAGAAATAATTATTTATTTATTTTTTCTTTCATGGGCCGGGGCATCCTCGCCCTGCCCCATTCCCCACCCCACGCCACCCCGCCAACTCGTTTGGGACGAATTTTTTTGCTATCACTACCCTTGGCCACGAGCCTAGCTCGTGTGTTTAAGCAGGCTTGACCCATTGCCATTTCTATGTGAAATTGTGAATCAAAGAAATCACTATCACTACAATATATAAAAGAGCAAACTTGCCTTTCGGAGTATAGCCCAGTGGTACAAAGGACATGAGTGAGGTTATCTCACGTCTTGCTGGCAGCCGCAGTGTGGGGGTTCGATTCCTGAAATATGGAATTGAACTCCTTGTAGGCGCAGTATACAGACAACTCTTGTTCCCTGGCCTGCTGGGGTACATCCCGCAATTTACCTCCTTCACAAAGCTCTAGGGACGGGGCGGTAAGGACCCTCAAGGTTGGGGTTCAACTTTTTTTTTTTTTTAAATAAAAGAGCAAACTTTTGTTACTGTTCATATGCATCATACTGATGTCATATTTTTTTTTTTAATATTTTGGAATGTGAAATATATTTATCTACCAATTATACTGTCTCTATTTTTTTTTTCACTCTCTATGACGTCTTTTTTCTTCTGACAGTCTTCTCCATTGAGTAATTGGCGCAAAACGTTCATATCTTTACAGGTTATTGTGGAAAACATCTTTACCTTTCATTTTTTGACATTTTGACCCTTATTTTAACCTTTCGTTGCGCTAAAGGTCATTTTCACTGTTTTAGAACGTAAAATGACCATTATACCCTCTTATTTAAAATAAAAAATAAAAAAAGAAATGAGAAATAAAGTACAAATTGCAATCATACTCCCAAACGTTTTAAAAGAATGTAAATGAGTCCAATAAATTATTAAAATATTAAAAAAAATTATCTTTCTTTTCTCCTCCTCCCCCTCCTCCTCCACCACCAAAACTCCGTCCTCTGACCGCCTTGGACACCGGAGCAATATACAACCTTAAAGCCCTCAATTACCCTACTAAGATCAATTATTAAAAGTTAATTTTGGGTCCCAAAATTCAATAGAATGGTTATTTCCCATAATAAATAAACCAAAAAACTTGTTGCTTACGTGTTTCTGTGGTTCCATTACATACATCGCCTTCATCGATGCCAGAAAAATACCATCGCCTATGCCCGTCAACTATCAGAAGGCAGCTCAAAACCATTGGTCAGTCATACACAAAATTTATGCATAAAGACCCATTTATATACTGGCCCATCTCTCTATCTTTCTCTATCCAAAAGTAGAGAAAAGTTATTTTTTGTAGATAATTATCAGTAGAAAGTGGGAATTAGGAATTGAAGTGCAAGGGGAGTTCTTGAATTGTCAGGAAGAATGTGAAATGTTGAAAGTGAATCTGGGTTGGAATTAAATTTTTTTTTCTATACGGATCTAGAAATTTGAATTTCCAAATCTTGGGTTTTGTTTTAAATCTTTGTTTTTTTCGTGTGGGTTCATTTGTTCTTAATGCTACTGCTTTTCCTCTGCCAGTCAGTGTTGCACCCACTCCAAGGTGGCAGGAGGGTGGAGGAGGATGCGGAGGAAGAGAGAAAAAAAGATAATTTTTATTTTTATTTTTAATATTTTAATAATTTATTGGACTCATTTACATTCTTTGAAAACGCTTGAGAGTATGATTACAATTTGTACTTTATTTCTCATTTCTTTTTTAATTTTTTGTTTTAAAAAAGGGGTATAATGGTCATTTTACGTTCTAAAACAGTGAAAATGATTTTTAGCGCAACGAAATATTGAAATAAGGGCAAAAATATCAAAAAATAAAAGGTAAGGACGTTTCCAACAATAACTTCAAAAGGTAGTAGGAACGTTTTGCGCCAATTACCCTTCTCCATTTCTCCAAGCCACCTTCAATACCTTCTCAGTCTTTACTCCATTCTCCACACAGCCATCCACCTTGTACAAGACCTCTCCTTCTATCTTCTTCTTATTTTTTTGTTTCTTTTCTTTTTTAATCACGTCTCTTTTCTATTTCTTGTTATGGTTTTGATGACTGCGGAAGGCTCGACTTCGATTTTCGGCTCTGGCTTTACCACTACGATGGCGGATTCCAAGCCATATGTCTCTTAAGCTCCCATCCCATGACCATCTTCCTCAAAGAGTACGTTTGAATTTATTTATTTTTTTTTTATAGTTTTTATCGATAAGTAATTTGAATCTGATTTGAGTTGGCTACTAATTTAGGTTTAATTTAATTTTACTTTACCATTTGGGTGTTGATATTTGATGAAATGAATTCAAAAAAGGATGTTTTAGATCAGTGGGGAAAGAAGACTGTCGAGGCTACATAGAAGGTTGAGGACTTGGCTGGAAACACGTGGCAACATTGTGAGTGTGTTAATCTTTGTACATTTTCTTCTTTTATGATTATATATTTTCATGTTTGGTTATGACTTATTTAATTTTGGAATGTGAACTTTCTCTTTTCTCTATTTTTTTCCCTTCTCAATGACGTCTTTTTCTTCGGACAGTCTTCTCCATTTCTCCAAGCCATTTCTAGAGAATGATTGATACAAGGTTTTTTGGTAAGTAAATATAACCTTTTTGCTATCAATCGAATGCATAGTGGTCGGATTTTACTTTTTGTATCCAGATTTGCAAGAAATTTTAACTCGTGTGAATTTCGTGGATTCTTTCAGGTGTATTTGCTTTGAAAAGGAAAGATGGAACTAATGTTGCAAAGTGAGTTCACTATTCTGCACAGCAAAGATGGTAATTTTCCTTCTCTCTCGATTTTTAATTTGTTTCTTGAATCTTTGATGGGTGCAAGTCTATTTGGAAAGATGCTCGAGATATTTTCCGATGTTATGGATTCTAACATTTGGGTAGATAAATTTAGTTATAGGAAAGCTATACAATCTGCCATGAAGTTGGCGGTTAAACAGAAAAAAGGAGCTATATGTTTATTAGATTTTGTTTATTGTCAGTCCATTGTTTCCTGGTTATCATTTTTTTTTCGCTCACGCACAGAGCAGTGCAGCTCCGTGAGGAGAGCTGCTACTCCGTCTCACTTTATTTTTATTTTATTATTATTTATTATTATTTTTTTTAAGTAGTGGCTGCCCTTATTATTAATTTATTTATTTATTAATAGATAGATTTGGTTTTCTGATTTTATTTAGCAAGTTTATGTTTCTAATAACAATCCTTAGATAGAGTGCTTGGTTGATTTTAGTTGAAAGGCTTTAGATTAGGCTGAGCAGATTTACATGTACATATTAAGTACCTTCCCTTGCATATAGAACAAGCTAATTTGGTCGTCATTGTTGATTGGATTTATAGTATGAAGGGTTCAGGATTTCTAGATAGTGTCATAACATATTTCGACTTTGTACGGGAAATTCTTAAGTAGTGTACCATGTCCTTTTAACATTAAGTTTTTTATAAGGAAGTTTAACATGTTCAGCTTATGCAATATAAAGATTGAGGCCATAAATTGTTGAATAACAGAGGAATTTATCCATATTATAGTTGTCATTTATAGACAGAAATTAAAGAGAGCAGAAGAATTTGAAATTTTAATAATCAAGAATATGATCACATTGAAATCTTAGGTATGTATTCAGTCTCCAAATAATATATTTCAACTCTCTGTGCCTGTTTAAAAATGAAATTGCTAATTTATTTCGGTTGTTGATGTATGAATATCTGGTCTTATGAAATTTTTTTTAATTGGATTTTGGGTTTTGGGATTCTTGCTTTCTTAATGTGTGTTGGGAGAACCGATGTGGAAGAATCGAGCATATTTCAGGATCCCTCACCTTCCTCTTTCGTGTGTTCATATCGTGGTAATTAATCTTTATTTCTTGGTACTGTGCTATGAATGTCTTTGAACTTTATGTATCTTTGTTTTTTAGAATTGAAGAGCATTTCTTGGGTAAGTGTGTCTATGTGCATGGTTGGTACAAAATCTCTTACATTTATTTTTATTTGGACAAGTAAAAAATAAAATTAATTTTCAATTGTGATTTTTGTATGTTGAATGTTTAAATTTGAAGATGTTTTCCGTTATTTTTTTAAAAATGTATTTTACATCCATGATCATGCTTACTTTATGGATAGATTGACGTTTTAATTATAGCGAAATAGTTTTGCTGCTTTTTCTTTATAGGAACTAGCTGTTAGATAGAAACTAAAATCATATAATCTATTTGCATCAGAAGAAGGTATAACAAAGTTATATATTCCTATATTTACTCAGTCGTAATCAATATTTTTATGTTCCACATTTTACGAGGGGTTCAAAAACTAAATAGTAGCATGGTTATAAATATTTGTGAGTTTGATTTATTGAAATTTCCCATTCCAATTCTATTATTTATTGAAACATTTGCTGCTTTTGTGTTCTATTTTAGAATGGACTTCAAAAGAACAATTTAATCGACCCTAATTATCGGTCAATACTAGCCTAGCCCCACAAAATCCATTAAGTTTTTCTTTTTTACCCGTTCATTTCTTTCTATTAGAATTGAGTTACAGACTTATGATGCTCATATGTGTTCGTATGCTTGTTGAAGTTGAGGGTTTCTTTGTGAGGAAGTTCAATAGATGAAAATAACAGTTACCACACAACTTGCATGAAAGCTAATGTATATTCTTTAATTGATACTCGTACTAATATTATGCAAGTAAGTGAAGTGAGATCTAATCTTAATGAGATTGGGTATGATATTAATTTAATCCATGAGATGATATCCAACTTGGTAAGCTACCACAACATGATTGTTTAAATGTGTTGTAATTTTCTTTTGGTTGCATTTTTATCTCATAATAATTCCTCCTAAATATCTTTATGAATATAGGAAGCTTTTTATGATGACAATGGACCATCTACTAGATGCACAACTTGCGTTGTAATCATCCCAAATGATCAATTTGTTGCAAATGCTTGAGACACCATTGTGTTCTCTCTCGGAGAGTTTTATACTTCCCAAGGGGTAATATTAACTTTCATTATTTAGGAATACTCTTGGTTATTTCTTCCAGAATGGTTTCAATACCCATAATTTTGTGTTGCATGAAATTAGTGATTTACTCATAAACTTATTTAGATGTAAGGGAGGTTTTGATTAGGTGTCATGAATTTATTGTTAATTATTTAAGTCCATAAGTGACCAGGAAATGCTATCCACATAGAAGGTTTTCTTGCTATGTGTTTCTCTTTTGAACCTTTTGTTCACGTGTTTAAACGAGATATTCGTTACATTGGCTCTTCTATATGTGTCGGACTAGATGTTTTGTTTATTTATGTTTAAATTTTGTTGATAATGATCTCTTTTATTTTATGGTTGGTTATTTCATAATTAACTCAAGTTTACGTTTTCCTCCTTTGCCATTTTTCCTATAGGTAATATTTTCATATTTTCTTTGCTTCCTTTACCATTTTTCTAAGAACAAATTTTCCTATTAAAACATAACGATGAAAGGTAACCATTTTTCACTTTGGCCTTCAAAAGTGGACTTCTTAAAAACCTTCATCTGAAGAAACATGTTAATTAATTTTTAATCATGTGACTCTACCTTACTGGAAGTCTAAAGAGCTGAAGTTAAGCTACCCCTATTTCTTTGCATGTTGATGAGAAAATTTCAAATTTATTAGATAGTAGTGAAATGAAATCTTTGAACTTGGTTTTGTTCATTGAGTAGACGAAAACTTTGAGAGTTTTTTCAATTTTTGGTTATTTTTCAGTATTCATGGATGCCTCAAAGAATCGTGATTGATTGTTTGTTATAGTTCCTCATTTCATTCTAATTTGTTTTCTTGAGGATTGATTAGATTGACATTCCCTGTACTTATTCACATTTCTCTCACATTCAATGCAAAGGTTATGTCCTTCAGTTATATTTAACTACCGAAGAATGTGATCAACTTCATCTTACTTTTGGCAAGTCAATTTATGTCATCAACTAGGTTGAGTTTGTTAACATTATGTAAATATAGTTGCGAAATTTATGGAATCTAAATGTTCATATCTTGTGTCTAATACAATGATTTTGAAGTACTAATTTATATACATAGTTCAAATACAATGTAGGTTGGTATCATTAATAATGCTAAAACACATCATTCAATGTACAAAATCAAATGTTTACATACTCTAAAATAGACTGTCATTTTAACGATATCACTCAAAAAAAATATAGCGGTAATCATGCAATGCACGATGCAGCACTAGTGTATATAAAAAAGAAAAAAAAAACTTAAATCTCACATCAGATCTTGATCAGAAGACAAATAATAATGAAATTTATATCATCTTTTCAACAATTAAAATTCAAATATTCAATATTATAATAATTACCCACAAGATTTGACACCAAATCTCTTGTTTTCTATTTATTCAAATATTTTTACCGTTATTCATTCACATAAACGCATTCAAACAATCTATAAATGAAATACCACACTCCAAATCATCCCATGCACGCTTGCATTCAAATAAAGTGTTCGTCTCTTATTTAAAAAATAATTTAAATAAAAAGGTATATTTGTCATTTCACAAATTTTTATTGAGAAAATGAATAAAAATGGTGTTTTTTGCGATGAAACTTGAAAATAGAAGTGAAAATGCGAAAATTTAAAACATAGAGACATTTTACGTTCTAAAGACCAAACATAAGGACGTTCTATGCTAATAGTCAAATTATTTATTTAAAATTTACTTATCACTTGTAAGTGAATTTACTTAGATCCTGTTTGAGAGGGATTAAAATCCAAATTTTAATTTAAATCAAAGTTAAGAATAACTTTTAACTACATATTTCATGAGACTTGCAACTTTCAACCATACATTATCAACTTTTATCAAAATTTACTAACAAATTGATTTAAATTTCCATCAAACAGGGTCTTATAATTATATGTTATGAGTTTATCCCACAATGCTCTTTGTTAAAATTTGTTGGCTTGCTTCCACGGACCACGGGTATTATGCAATGGTGAAGTAAAAGGATTTTCTATGAAGTATCGAAGGTTTGAATCCTTGTAACAGATGGAAGACAACATTTATGTTAGAAAACAGGTGTCCTGTAGAGGCAAAGTTATGGTGCACTTTGAAAGTCTCATCAACACGTCGTAAAGGGAGATCCACAGGGAGGAGAACCAGTAGCGGACATGAGTATAGGCAAAGTAGGTGATCGCCTAAGACCCCGTTTTGGTGAGAGCTCCAAATTATGTAAAAATTAATTGGTTGGTTGAAGAAAAATGAAAATTATATTTATGAAAAATAAATTATCGTATGTAGATATAAGAAACTAATAAAAATTGAAAATACAAAATCTTTAATATATATATATATGTCAAAAAACTTGTCGCTTACATTTATTTATCACAAACATTACTTTCCATCTTTATAGCTGAGTTGAAACTTTATCTTCAAAACATCCATTTTCTTTTCTTAACCAAACAAAAGGTGTAATGACCCGGGTCTTTGTACCTAAGCCGTTAGCTTACGTACTGTCCACTTTGGGTGGGCTTTGCGCCCACTTACCCTTCATGACTTTCTGTCGCGTCACACAAGATTCGAACTCATAACATTTTTCCTTAAGTAAGACTTAAATTAAATTTTGGTACCAACTGGACAACTTTGTAACGACTCGGGTCTCTGTACCCAAGCCGTTAGCTTACGTACTTTCCGCTATGGGTGGACCTTGTACCCACTTATCCCTCACGACTTTCTGTCGCGTTCTTCAGGATTCGAACTTATAACATTCCCCTCAAGTAATATTTAAATTAAATTCTGGTACCAATTGGAAAAAATGCACGTTTTTTGTAACGACCCAGGTCTTTGTACTCAAACCGTTAGCTTATGTACTGTTCGCTTTGGATGGACTTTGTGCTCACTTACCTCTCACGACTTTTTGTCGCGTTCCCAATTGGTACCAGGATTCAACTTAAGTCTTACTTACGGAAAATGTTATGAGTTCGAATCTTGGGGTACGCGACAGAAAGTCGTGAGAGATAAGTGGGCGCAAAGCTCACCCAAAACGAAAAGTACGTAAGCTAACGGTTTGTGTACAAAAACTCGGGTCGTTACAAAAGGTCTCTTCGTATCTTCAAATTTCATGTCCAACAATCACCCGTCATTACTGTTAACCCAACAAGATATAAATTACCTCCTTTTGAATTAAAATTTTGAAGATTCAATGCAAATTGGTTTGATCTCACTGCCATTGTTACAATCTTACAGGTTTCTTTCTCTGTCTCTTATCTTCAAAATGCATGCTTCAGAGTACATATGTTTTTATTATATTGTTTTGTTTTAATCTCATAATAATAATATTTTTACATGTTTGCTGAAAGTACTTTGAATTTAATAATTTTTTGTCCATGTTCATATAGATACTTCTTATTTTTAAGTTAATTTCTTATGATATAAAAGTAGAAACTCATTTGTATTTGATCATCATTTTCATTATTTTGTTACGCTATCTTTTGAAGTTAACATTCACCAATTTTGTATATAAATCACTGAAATGTATATTCAATTTTTGTTTGAAATAATTGCAGTGAGAAAATGTCATTGCATTGTAATTTCATTTGCCAAACTTTACTTGTAAATTATATTGCAGGTTGAAATTTGACATTTTGTTAATTTCCTCTTCAAATTTCGCGATTTAGTTGTTTGTGTTAGATTCTTTATAATTATATTAAGCCCTTGTTTGATATCGAAAGTTAAAATCAATAATTAATTTAACCACTTATTTTATGGGTTTCACAACTTTAAATCTACATTTCATCTACTTTTATCAAAATCTACTAAAAATTTGATTTTAATCTCCATCAAACAAGGGGGCTAAAACTTTATGTAAGAAGACTCAAAATATAAGGGCCCTATATTTGAAATTGGCATAAGGCCCCCAAAATATCAAGGTTAGCCCTGAGGAGAACCACATCCTGAATGTTCGGTCTAAATGTGTATAAGTTGTGACTGCCTCCAAATTTATCCAGTAGTGAATCAGGGGGAAAGATCGCCACTTCTCAAGATTAGCCGGGCAAGCTCGAACACCTAAGTTAAAAATTTTTAAAAAAAAAAAAATTTCTGTTGGCTTGCCAGAGAATATTCTTAGCCAAAGCAATTGCATGCGTGAAAGAAAGGATAAAAATTGGGAAAAAATAAAAATTCATATAAAAAAATTGGATCCAGCATGAGAATAAGGGCAAAGAACTTTATGGTGACTATCCGTAAAGTTGCACTTCATTATTTTGTAGGCAAACACCGAAAGGCGTGCCGCGAGGGCCCTTCTCCGCCACGCTATTAGAAGCCCACTTGCACAAATCATAACAATGCGCTTTCAGATCAAACTATGATCTCGTCTCAATAAATTAGATAAATTACCTTTAACGTTTTAAAAAAGAAATAAATTACATAGATGCTTTTTCTAGGTAAATATTATTGCACAGACATGTGTCGTCTCGTTATTAAAATCAAGTTCTATATTTGATCAATTGTTTCATTAATATTAATCAGTGTTTGAAAAAGCGTAAAACGTGACTAAACGTGGGTTGATAAGTGTATTCATTACACATATGTGAATCGTTAAACTAGAGCAATTAGTCTTATTTTAAATGAATTGAAGCTTAATTTTATATATATTTTGTTTGTTAAGCGCATCTCGATGAAAAATGATGGAAGTTGACAAAATGAGTGAAAAATTGGCAAAAAGTGATTGAATCCAAAGTTTGGAGACTAAATTAAAAAGTGCTAATAGTTTATTCGGATCCAATATCAATGATTGGGAAGGTGTGGATTCAATTAGATGGAATTTGAAGCTAAAGGACCAAGAAGACATAAAAAGTTAAAATAAATGAAGACCGAAGTTGAGAAATCAAAGTGCAACAAATGGAAGATGTTAAAGCGGCGCACACGCAGGGCAAATTTTGGGGTGAACGGCCCAGATTTCATTTTCTACCTAAATTCATATGAAAACCAAATTTAACCTACTATTTAAACAAGAGGAGATGGCTAGAATGAAGGAGAACATTAATATACATATTTTTCACCGCAAGAAAGAAGCTATCAAGAGATTCTAAGGCGATTAACATGAGAGATAGAAAATTCAAAGTCCGAGTCGAAGATTAAAGAAGAAGAAATTAATTTTTCACTTTTCAATTATTGTTTTCAATTCTGGGTGATGTTTCTCCAATTTTTTTTGTGTGATTTGTTAGATAATATGCTAGGCCAATTACTTTCATGTATTGGATGAAAATAAAAC